CGCTTGGCCAGGAGCCCCAGACTGGTTACAGACTGGCGGGGCTCGCCTAGGGACCCCTCCGCCTGCTGTCCTCCTTGCTCAGCAGTGTGCTGTCACTCCCGGATCACAACGCTCAATACCAAGGATTATCCGAGTGCCCCACCCATGCTCGCCTCATTTCACCTCCAGCAGGTACCCTAACGAAGGATGTCCTCCTCTGTCCATTCTGCGCCTCTGGTGTTTTTATCAGATCATCTCTCAGCTTGTTTCCCTTTCTCCAAAGAGATAAAGCTCAAATAAAGTATATAACTCTAATTACATTTGGACCCTTCCTGCATTTTCTCCCTTCTCTCTATTCTGTGCGCCTAAGGAAAGGGGTGGGAGAAACACCAGAAGTGGGCGGACATGGTGGAGAAGAGACGAGCAAGAGAAAGACAACTGTAGCATTTGTATTTTGTATGCAAGGTGTCTACCGCACCCCACTGAGGCGGGGTAGGCCAGCCGGCCTCTGCGGCGTGCAAGGCAAGAACTGTTAGACTGAAGGCATGTTCGCATCTCTGCAGGGTCAGTATCTCATCCTGCCACTGTTTCAGGAGGCCAAGCAGCTGGACCTGCCCACGAGAACGTTCGTTCTGGAGAACTCCCCCTGGCCTTCAGCTTCACGCTCAGCATTGCTCCTTTCTCACAGGTGTTTAAGGTACACGCAGTCCGGAGTCTGTGCTCCTGGCGGACCAAAGTTAGTTAAAATCTGTGACAGCCCTGGCCGGTGCGGCTCGGTTGGTCGGGCGCCGTCCTGTGCACTGAAAGATTCCCAGTTCGCTTCCCAGTCAGGGCACATGCCCGGGTTGCAGGTTCAGTCCCTGGTGGGGGGCATGTAGGAGGCAGCAGGCCAATGTTTTGCTCTCACATCGATGTTTCTCTCCCTCTCCCTTCCACTCTCTCTAAAAATCAATGGAAAAATATTCTCTGGTAGGGATTAACAAATAAACAAACAAAATTCCCCCTCCCCCTTTAAAAAAACAACCAACCAGCATTAAGTTACAATCAGAAGAGAAATACAGAGCCCTGGGCAAAGGTGTATGGAATCCTGAATTTTATTTCCCATTCAATAAACAAGATTCCTCTTACTTGGGCACTCAATTTCTCTCTTCTGTTAGATGAAAGACATCCTTGTTAAAATATAGGTGTCTCGGGGCACCTGTAATACTGTCAACAATAAAAAAATAAAATGTATCTCTGTCTTATCACAGAGAAAATGTGTGCAATCACTCATTCTACAAACATTTACTAAGCACCTGCTACATACATAGCACCCCAAACTGTGGGGTAGATAAAACAACATTACCTCTACTTTGTACATACATAAACTAAGGCTCAGATACGTTTAAAACTGGCCCAAGGTCATATGCAATTGTACGCTAAAAGGGTGGGGGTCCAAGTCACAAGCTTCCTTTATCCATGCTCACTCAACACCTCTATTGAACTCCTACTATGCACCACGCACTGTCCCAGGTGCTGAAAATACAAGATGAGCAAAATAGATGACAAAAATAATTATAAATTATGATAAGTACCTTGAAAGTTAAATACAGGAAACTCAGAGGGCAGACATCAGGAGGACGTGAAGCCATCTTCCTATGGTAATGACGTGTGACCTGACATCTGAAGGGTAAGTAAGAGTTAGGCTTATAGCAAATCCCAATGACTGCTAGTAGGGCAGAGCCAAATGGTGGGCCAAGAGTGGCAGCCAGGGTGAGTGCAGAAGCTGGGCACCCCGGGACACAACCAGCTGGAGCCTAAGGGTAATCACCATGGCACAAGGGCTCAACCAGAAACTGGGTCAACCCACGAATGAACTTTCAGAGTGGCAGGGACAGGCACAGAAATGTGTCAACACCAAGAAAAAGCTTCACATTTAAGAGAGGAGATGAGAAAGTGCACGGAGAGCCCAGTTTTTGTGGGCTGCTGTCCTCCCCTCCAGCTCCCTTCTATGCCCACATTTCTGTCAGAGGAGGGTCTTTAAGCACAGAATCGATGGCTTCTGACACTTGGGCAGCAAGAGGTAGAGTTTAGAATTTGGTCCTTCCTGCTACAACTGCAGCATAGCTAAATATGGGCTTTGATGCTTGACCTCAGAAAGACCAACCAGATGCTTGGACTACATTCTATCTTTAAAGAATATTCTGCTATAAACCCACAGCACCCAGCCTCTTCCACAGTCATAAAATAAAGAAAAATGGCTAATTGATTATAAATAGTAACTAGTAAAGTGAGTAACAAAAGGCCAAGTCTTCTTCCAAAATTCACATCATCCAAAATTCTAAGATATTTCAAACTTTACAAAATGTTATGGTTGGGTTGGTTAACTCACTTTTCATAGCATTGTCATCATTGAAGCTTTTATCTCTCTAATGAAAAATTGGAGAAAAATCCTAAAGACTGGAAAACTAGCATAGACTGGATCTGAATGCTTAAATGTCTTAGCACAAGTTTTTCTCCATTACTGAATAAAAACCTCAAAGCAGCTTATGTTCTACAGTAAATGGGGTTTGAGTGTGATTTTTATATGTGAAGAACTAAGTATAATCAATAGAACTGCAGAAAAATAAGTTTAGAAAGGAGACAGGTCAAAATAGGTGACCTTAGGTTGCCATCTCTAAATATGTTAGATATCACAAAGCCTGATGATTGTACCTTGAGTCTCACCTATATCTGATTTAGATGATATTTAGATGAGACTTTGGACTTAGACTTTTGAGTTGATGACACGTGAGATGGACATAAATTGGGGGGGAAGGAGTGTCAGGGGAGGGATGGTATGATCTGAATGTTTGTTTCCTCCCAAAATCCATACATTGAAATTCTAACCTCTAAGGTGATGATATTAGAAGGTAGGGCCTTTGGAAGGTAATTAGGTCACCCTTATAATTATTAATGGATTACTGCCCTTGTAAAAGGCCTCAGAGAGATCCCTTCTCCCTTCTGCTATGTGAGGGCACAGCAAGAAAATGGCCATCTGTGAACCAAGAAATAGTTTCTCACCAGACACTGAATCTGCCAGCTCTTTGATCTTGGACTTGTCAGCATCTGGAATTATGAGAAATAAATGTCTGTTGTTTATAAGCTACCCAGTGTATGGTTATTTGTTATAGCAACTCAAATAGACTAAGACACCCAAGCACTTAACTATATTGCATCTAGATTCAACTCTCATTTGTCAGTAGAAATAGAGGAAGTAATGGTATAATATAAGGTCATTAATGATCTTGGGATTGTGGAATCTCAGTGAAAGGGAGGATTATGAAGGTCATCTAGTCTAACCACCCATCTAATCTCTTACAGTTTAATTTTAACAAACACTTGCTGGAAGACTCACCATATTTCAAATACTCTGTGTTTCTGTAAGCTGTTGCTGCATAACAATCTACCCCAAAATTTAGCAGCTTAAAATAATAGTCATGTATTTATTTGCTCACAGTTCTGCAATCTAGGCTGAGTTTAGCTGTGCCGATTCATAAGGTTGCAGTCATTTAGAGATTTAACTGGGGCTAGAAGTTGAAGATGGCTTTACACACATGTCTGACACCTCAGCTG